ACCCCCCCCCCTTTGAAGTCACAAGCTGTGCCCCCCCCCCCAAGCGCCGCGCCGCCATCCCAGCTGCCTGCGGGCACGACCCCTGTTTGTGCAGCGCAACGCAGGCACTGCTCTCCCATCAGCCTCTTGCAGTCTGAGTGGCCCCCTCCGCTGCGTTGTCGGCAGTCACCCGCCACAATTGACCCGCACACGCATGAGCGCGTTCCAGCCTGCATAGGTCGTTCCTGCTGCGCGCCGCCCGGTCCAAGACACGCCACTGTGCGTCGGCACATGCGTGCACGTGTACCAGGCAGTGAGCGGCCAGCAGTTCTTCCGCGCCCCCTTGTCACCTCCCCCATTTGCTGGTCCACATCAACGCCATGCCTGTAAATGCCGCCTGCTGATGCTCACAAGCATGCAGCTTTGTTGGGGCCTGTACGTTTGAGCCTGTGCGCGCCCACGTGCGGCCCGCCAACAGGGGCATGCAGCACCAACCGCCTGCCTGCGGCCACCATAGGAATGTTTTGGAGAGGGGAAGCTGCAGCAACACAAGGCGAGTGCGGCGTCCCTTACTCGTGGCGAGGGACAGCCGCCACTGCTCGGGCAGGGTTGACTGGGAGCCCACGGCCACCGATGTGCGTGCAGCAGGATGCCTTTTCAATATCAGGTGGGCTGGTATGATGAGGGTGTATCGTGGAGTCAAGGTTCCAGAACATGGCGAATGGTGGTAAGCCGCCTGGGCGGCACACCGCAAGCACACAACCTGCCAGGCACGCATCTCGCCAACGGTAGTGCACATGCACGAAGCACTGTGCAGGGTCACCATACATTGCCACTTTGATCGTCATTTCCTCGTTAAACCCAATCGAATTGTCTTCCGAAGCCACACCTATTATTGACGACGGCTTGCAAGTAGATCACCCTTTAGTGAACCTCATTTGAGCCCCTGAAACGGAATGTTGATGCAATCTAAGCATTCAATCATGCGGGCGGGCGCAACGTCGCCCGCCGTGAGGAGTGGCGCATTCTTGCGGCAGTCCTGCGCGACGCAGCAGCGGCGGCAACTGCATGTACGAGCGGCTGGCGGCGAGCAGGACGGCCAGCCGGGTGAGCCTGAGCTGCGACGACCCTCGCATGGTGCCATGCAAGATGCATGCAAGCGACAATACGCCCGCGCTGGCGTGCGCATGCTGCTGCAGCAAGCTCTGTCGCCTTACCCCTGCCGCCAACCTCGCACCCCGCGCCACCAGCGGCGGGCCCTGGCCCGCAGTCGTCGGGCCCTGTGCGCGAGTTCTCCGCTTACACCAGCGTCGACGAATGGAAGAAGCTGGATTCAAAGGTGCGCGGCGCAGCCTCAGCACCACTGAGCATGGCAACTTCCCCCCACATTCACCAACATGCAACCTCCTCACCACCCAACATCGCGGTGGGCCCCCGAGGCCGCCGGGCGTTTGACGGCTCGGTGCCTGTGCCCCACGGCGCCGAGGCCGCGATGCGGTTGTAGGCTGCGGGCTTCGCGGCGCCTTTGGGCGGGGGTGGTCAAATTGAGGATGGGCGGGCGCGGCAGCTGCGGGCGCCGATGCCCTGCCCCCCAGTTCGCCACCCAAACACGATACCTGGGGCGTCGAAACCCAAGGGGGGCCCTTTAAATTCATCCTCGGCGCAACCAAGACGGTCTTGTCAACTTGGCGCAAGCTGCCGCGGGGGCTGCCCTCACTCTGGGAGTCACGATCGCGAGCCCCAAACCGGCCACCCTGCCTGTCAACCCCCTTCCCCAAAACCAATCACAGGTGAACACGTACCCGTGCACGCGCTCCTTCCAGGCCATCGGCGTGTCCGACGGCACGGGCGCCTTCAAGGCGGACATCCTGGGGGCGGTGCAGTCAGTGGTGGGGCAGGTGCATGTCGAGTGCATCAACGAGCGGCCCTCCAGTGGCGGCAAGTACACGGCTGTCCGGATAGGGCCGGTGCACGTCCAGAGCGGCGACCAGGTGAGGGGCGGCGCGGCGGAAAATGCCAGCGCCAGAAGGCAGTGGCAGCAGCACTCGCACGCGCACGACTGCGCACAACAGGGGTTGGCCGGGCCCCGTGCGACGAAGACGGGGCGTCGGCTGCAGGCGGTCGGGTTTGGCGGCCGGTGAACTCGTTGAGCGGCCCTCCTCCACAGCGGTACGCTGACGCGGCGCGGCGG